TTTCTTTCTTTCTTTCTTTCTTTCTTTCTTTCTTTCTTTCTTTCTTTTTTTTCTTCCTCCCTCCCTCTCACCTGCCCGCCTGCCTCAGACCAGCAGCCAAGCTAGACCTGCCCTGTCAGCAGGGAGTAAGAGGACAGGAAGACCCTCTGAAGAAGCAGAGCACAGGAGGTCAAAAGGACATAGATGGGAAGGAGGAGATATCTTGGAGTTGCAGCATCCCTGTGGTTATAAGTCTATGTGGGCTGCCAAGCATCTAAATTTTGATCACATGACTGCAGGAATGCTACAACAGCAAATCTTTGTTTAACACCATTATGACTTTGAATGGTCATTGAACAAATAGTCATAAATCAAGGACTACCTGTATCAATGAAGTCTACCTGTTCATTTCTCAAAACAATGCTGGTTGTCTATCCTGTCTTAACCAGTTTTTTTAAAATTAAAGAACAATATAATTAAGAATTATTTTTAAGGTTAAATGGTGTTGGTGGTAGAAACTAAAAAAAACAAACAAAACAACAACCCAGAAACAAAAACAGAGCATTTGAAAAAAGGCACTTCCGGGTTAAGCCCTCCTCACTGACGGACCAGGAATCGTGACTGTCTGCAGCTTTGGTCCGTGCTCTTTCGCTGGAGAGCCCCAATCATCATGATTAGGGACTGAAGCTGCCTCGGAGGGGCAGTGGAGTAAGGAAAAGCTGCCAGCTAGGTCGAGGGGAGCCGCATCTCCCCCCTTGGGTTTAGCAATCCCCCCGTAAAGACGACCAAGCGGCCACCCTGAAGAGGAGGACTTAGCTGGATTAAGATTTGTGCAGGAGTGAAGAAAGAGGTGGACAATGTAAGAATCAGAACAATTTGGCACAACAACTAAATAAAAGGTACCCTGGAATTGATTTTATAAGAATCTTTAAGAAAGAAAAAGAAAGCGGCAGAATTATAAAGGGAAGTGGGGAAAAAAGAGAAAATAATTTTGACAGCTGAATCGGGCTTTGAACTGGGAAAGGAAGAATCTGGAACAAGATATTTGAATAAATTGAATTAAAATATATTGGCAACAAACAGGCATAAATTAAAGCTGGACTTAAGAGTATTAAAAAGAGGGGGGAAATATACAAATTGGAAACTTGATTGTTTTGGAATATTGAGGCTCGGAAAGCCCTGAACAATAAAACGGGCTGGGGCGGGGGGGACTTTGTATAATGGAGAGTGTCATCTTGTGGACAAAATTTAAACTGAAAAAAGAAAAAAAAAGTTCCCGTTTCTGTATGAATCTGACTTGATACAATAAAAACGAAATATTGAAACAATAAAACAAGTACCCTAGAAAGTGAAAGTTGAACTAGAAAAAAAGAAAAAGGAAGAAAAGACGGATTGTTGAACTAATTGGTGACTTTGGTATAAACCCAGTGTTGGAATAATTGTGAATCTAGAAAGCCTGAAGAAGAAAAAAAGAGAAGTTGATTTGTGGATTTTAAAGACTATAAGATATAAGAGTGTGTAACGATAATATCTCTGCGGGAACTAAAAATGGAACTTAAAAATATGAAAGAACTACTATATGCAAGAGGTGAACCACTTGGCTCTATGTTAAAAGCTATGGAAATGGCAATTGAAGAACATGAAGAAGAAACCTCAGAGAAGGAGGAGTTAGTTCAAGAAAAAGCCATCTTAAATAGACAATCAACACAAAGAACACCACAAAGAAGAGGGAAAAGAAGGGGGGTTAAAAATAGGAGATTCAAGAGAGTAACTAAAAAGGGCGATACCTGTAAAAACAGGAAAGACAGAAAGAAACAACAGAAAAGTAAAAGGGGAAAGGAAGATACAAAGAGGGAGAGGGAATCAGAGGGAGAAAAGAATTGGAAAAATAAAAGGAAAGAGAGGTAATGAGGAACAGGAACAGGAAAGAAAAAAATATGGGAATTGTAAAATAATGGGAAAATATTTTTATTTAGAATGCATAGGGATAATGGTTAATGAATTAAGAAAGGGGATTCCGCACTGATATAAGGAGTAATAAGAATGTATTTGCAATTACAAATTATCTAGAAAATAGGGGAATATAGACCATTGAGAGGAGGGAGGGGCACTGATATTTTTTAGTAGATGAATGTATGTTCTTATATTTATTGTTACAAGAAAGGTTAATGTTCATTATATATATTGAAATAATTGAAATGAATTGTAAGGATGTTTAAAAATGAGATTAATATCAGTGACCAGGACTAGTTAAATGGATTAATTGTTTCTTTTTGTCTGTCTTTTTTGGTATTATATATAAAACTCTATGGAAGTAAAGGGGGAAAATATACTGCGGAATCTGACTGAAAAGTATAATGTTATGTAGTTCTTTTTTAGGGAATGATTATTATTATAACTAATTAAAATAAATGTTTATTGGGAATTAAGATGGAGGAATTAAGGTATATCTAAACCACTGAAGTGACACTCCCAAATTAGTAAAAGGGGAGGGGAAATTTATGTTCTATCTTGTGTGTAAAAGCTTGTATTAATGTAGAATCTATGGAAAGAATATGCGATGGAATTGCAAATCTGACAAAAGAATTAAAAGGTAATAAGTATGAAGATATGGGAATTATTAGTGATTTAAATGAGAAAAGAGTATATTGGAAAAGGTCACTCTTAAAAGAAACATTAATGTTTAAGAAATATATTTGAAATAAATTGAAATGAACTGAGATAGATGTTTAGAATGAAAGTAATGATCAGTGAACAGGATTAATTTATTTGTTCCTTTTCTTATGTAAAATTAAAAGATAGGAAGTTGGATGTAGAAAATGAATATATAATTATTGTCATATTTGCATGTAGAAGTGGTGAACCGGAATTATGTTGTACACTGAAAAGAGCTTTTTTCCCCCTTTGTTTTGGAAAAATTGAATAAAACTTGTTTTAAAAAAAAGAAAGAAATTTTGCAATGATGTTATCACTGGAAGATGCAATGCTAGGATATTTGGGAGTTCCATGCTGAAGAATAGGTAAATGCTCAGTTTCTAGAATAATTTCTTGGTCAGTCATCTTTTTCTTGAGAGAAATGTGTTATATTTAGGATGAAAAATGTCATGTAAGACAAGGCCAGAACAAAAAGAGGAGAAAGCAAAGAATCACCCCAATTTTAAGCAGATAAGATCTATTTTCTACAGTATCTACTATACATAGAAAGAGGAAAACTGGGATTCAATTATGAACATTCTGTATAGGTACAATTTAAACTTTCTACAATCTGTCCCAAAGGTGCTTTTTCAGGAGGCAACTGGACTTTTTGATTTTTCTTTGGAGATATTTTGCTTCTCATCCAAGAAGCTTCTTCAGCCTCTTGGGGGGGGGGGAAGGTGGTGGTAGGGGAAGCACCTTTGGTACAGCCATCACCTGGATGACAGAATCTCCATAGACTTTCCCCAATCTGTCTTCTTCAAAAGTGTTGGGCCAAAAACATGGGTTTTTGTTTGTGGTGTCTTTGATTTGCTTATACAAACAGCAGTAATAGAGAATTGTTCTCGCCCTAAACATCTGATTATTGAACAGTTTCTTAGAAACTGTTGACATTTGATCATTTGTCTTGCTAACTTTTGCTGCCAAATGATACTTTAAAAAGGATGTAAAATACACTTGTAGTAGATCTTGCTTTCAGAAATTACACAAAAGGGCAATGGAAAAAGTGTTTGACTTTGTCATCATTGCAGATTTGGTTCAGATGAGCTGAAGAAAGAATTTCTTGCTCCAACAATAGCTGGAGACATTGTGGCTTGCCTAGGAGTAAGTGAATCTGAGGCAGGTTCAGATGCTGCAAGTAAGTATAAATCATCCATATAACATTTGTAACCTATTTACAAATGATTATTGACTATTGTACAAATTTATTAGGCTACTTATGTAGCACATTAAGCTCTAGAATAAGAATAATTCTTTATTCTTGAACAAGAATAAAACCATAATACAACTATTAAATTAGAAAAAGGAAGGAAGGGAGGGAGAGAGGGAGGGCAATGTCAAGGTCTCAGTTAAAAACTCATACCTATAAACCACACCCAATCATGCTAAGCTCCATTAATATCTTATCCCATGTACATTTTGCTATTCTTCTAAATAATTCAAGAATACATAGATGATGTCCCTTCTCCTTCCCCACACCTTTCATTTTGTTTTGCAATAATAATCATACTAATAATGGACAATATTTGTAGTTCAGGATTGAAATAGAGGTCCTTGTTGCTCTGTAAGTCTATTACACAACAATTGCTAGAAGTGAAATTAAAGTACTTATTCAGAGGGTTAAAGAAAATGTTCTTAGATCTCCACTGATCAACAGCAACTAGGAGAAAATGCATTGTGAAAGCCCTGTTAAAACAAGCCCTGGAGGAAAAAGAATCATTATTATTCTTACAGTTTGATTGAATTTGTGTGTTGTAATTAATTTTTCTCCTATGGAGTCCTTAGTGCTGTCTGAGGTTACAGATGTTTTGTTATTAGACAAGATACGGACAATTCAGTGAAGTTGTATCTAGTCTTGTAACAAAACATCTGCAAGGAAACAACCAAACTCAGAGAGCATCAAGGACTTCATAATTCAATCATAGTTCAAATACAGATATTCTTTTCTATGGAAATTCCTCTCCTCTCCACTAGCTTAAATAATTAGGAAAATTACAATATGCTATTAAAATATTTTAATAAGGCCAAATTTACTTTCTCTTCCTATACATCCCTCATCTTAGTAATTTATAGGGTGTATCATTTCCACCTTGACAACTATTCAAATCAAACATTTAAGATAACACTTTCCTCTTTCTTTATGGAGCACAGTTCCCTTAAATATTTGTGGAACTTCAGAACTAATGTCTCTGTTTCTTTGCAGTGAAAATCTAAGGTGGCTCAAATATAATGCTAATTGTCTGCATAAAACACTATGTTTAGTGAATGAAAATAGGGCAGTAGGGAGAAAGAAAGCATGGGATTGGATTAAAGGGTTTAAAAGAAGTTGGGTCAGGCAAAAGAACCATTAAATTGAATTGACCAATTGCCCTGAATTGATATCAAATGTTTCTATGTTCATAAGATGCTCTGGATAAAAAAACTAAGATCATACTGTGTATTAAAAATATTATATATTAAAAGAAGTAGAAATGCCTCTGGAAAACACTTATGTATAAGAAAAAATAGTGAAAAGGGAGGGAGGGAGAGAAAGAGACTAGCATATATTAATGTTTAATAAATTAAACACAAGAATAAATTGCAGGTAGTCCTCAACTTACAACCACAACTGACCCCAAAATTTCTGTTTCTAAGGGAGACAATTGTTAAATGAGTTTTGCCCCATTTTACAATCTTTGTCACAGTTGCTATCACTGCAATTGTTAAGTGAATCTGGCTTCCCCACTGACTTGGCTTCTTAGAATTCTAGGTCACAAAAAGTGATCATATAACCATTGTTGTCCCCTCTTGCCCTGACATTGCAACCATCATAAGTATCACTCAATTGCCAAGAGTCAGAATTTTGAAAATATGACTCCTACAATTTCTTTATTGTTGTTTTACAACTTTTAGAGAACAAGATTCTTTATTTGATAATCTAAGGTTTCCATGTGACTCCTATTTTTATAATATCCTGTCTAATTATCAAATCTATAAACTGTAAGCTCATCTTTTTCTGTTTTATGCAAAAAAAAAAAAATCTATAAGGAGTTTCCAGTTAGCAATAAAGGCCAATAGGTATTTTCAAGTGATTCAGAAGGGTATAAAATAAAAGATTACACTCCTTATTTTTATTTATCTACCAGCTTATTTACTTAATTAGTTAACATTCAGCCTAGTTTGGGATTGGAACATTGTAGAAGAATTGGGTTCACTTTAAAGGTTAAATCCATAATTTCCAATATATATAAAATACATTGTGTTAAGACAGCAATTGAATTAGGGATGTTACAGATGAGCATTGCTCTCATAAAGCATGCAGTCATACGATTTCATTGCTTAGTGACAACAATCCCAGCATTCCTGGTTGCTGTCAACTAACATGGATTACCATGAGCTGTGGTGGTGCAGTGGTTAGAATACAGTATTGCAGGCTCATTCTGCTGACTGCTGACAGCCAGCAGTGTCACCAACTCAGGAAGTCTTCCATCCTTCTCAGGTGGATAAAATGAGAACCCAGATTGCCAGGGGCAACATGTTGACTCTGTAAACCGCATACAAGGCTGTAAAGCAGTATATATGTCTAATTGCTATTGCTAACTGGGAAGTGGCAGGAGTCACAGGAAGGAGTGCCGGGCGGCCTGCTGCAGTAAAGTATGGAATGCAGGCTCATGAGGGAAGCCCTGAGAAGCCTGGGGCAGGCTGATACGCAACATGGGGAAAACTAGGAGAGAGCTTGGGAGTTGAGACACAAGCTGCACACAAATGCAAGAAGGTGGGGAGTGGATGGCACAGCAGGGTGTGAGAACTGATAGGGTGATTGGTGGGTGGTGCAGAGGGATCAAAGGAAAACTGGGAATGAGAGGAGAATCTTTAAAGGAACCTATGATCTTTCCGGCTAGCTTCCATTTTGACTTTGCTTGTGGAAATGGCAATCACATGGTCACAGGATGCTGCATCTGTGGTAAATGTGAGCCATTTCCAAGTGCCAGCCGTCAAGTGCCAGCCAGTTGTCAAATGCATGTGGGAAGTCGGCAGAGATTGCAATCACATGACCATAGAACACTGCAATTTCATAAGTGGGAGCCAATTGCCAAGCACTCCAATCTGAATTACAGGACCATTGTGGCACTATGACGCCTGGAGCTTTAAAGACCATTCATAAAGATTACTCATTTAGCACCATCATACAGTTGGACTCTTCACATTCCATATCATTTTTCTCCCTTGTGCACAGATATCAAGACCAAAGCTGTAAGAAAAGGCGATGATTATGTGATAAATGGTAGCAAAATGTGGATCACTTCTGGATTTCAGGCAGACTGGATGTGCCTCTTGGCAAACACAAAGGATGGACCAGCCCACAAAAATAAATCTCTCCTATGTCTGCCAATGAAGTTGCCTGGTAACAAAGTTAAGATAAATTATTCTCAGAAAAAATGTATAACTTAATAAGTTAGCGGAGTGGAAGTTCATTTGAATCTCATAAATCATGTTGAGAAATACCTCTTCCAAATGGTGACAACCTTTTAAAAGCAAAATAGTATTGACTGTTAGAATTTGAAAAATGTATATTGTGACTGTGCCTGTTTTAGACTAACACAAAATCTTCAAATAGCTGTCAGGCTTTCCAAATTAGAAACAGAATTCACAGTTTTTTGGTTTTTTTGCTATCTTAAAAGTTGAAGCAACCAAGCAAGTAAGTACTTAAAATTGAAAAAGCCTCCACAACAATTTGATATAATTGATAGTTATTTACTTATGACATACTTATGTGGGGTTTTTTTTTTGGTGCGTGCTACAAAATTATTGCATCACTATTTCTTTGTTAATGGAGATATCCATAATTAAGAGCAGGGTCAAAAAAGAAGAAGAAATTAGGAGGAACACTCCTGTTCCATGCATTTTGCACAGTGTCTCTCATTAGTTGTAGTCTGCTGTAGGAACAGATAAATTAGAAACTGTTACTGATTATAAAATATTACTTGTAAAAATATCAGTGGAAACATACAAACAAAAACTGATTAAGGCTATCAGTTACAATATTCCAAATGTCGTATCATTGATTGATATTAGGGCATTTTGAAATTATAATCTCTGTTTTCATTACAATTTTTTAAAAGTATTTTTAATATGCTGGTTTTTTCCCCCCACTGTGGTTGGACACTGGGTTAATATCTTCATCTAACTGTTTTTCATTACTCACAGATCTCTTTAACATATCATGTTACTGCTAGCTCTGATCCCAACAGTTTGCATGAATAGTTAGGTTCCTTGGCATCAATGTTTATCACTTCATAGTATTTGCTCCTGTAGAATGGCAGCTACTATTTTGACATCCATTTTTCTAATCTGTAGAGATTATTATTGAGTTCTTTGCAATTTATTAAAGTTTTTACATCACTCTGAACAATTTGGTGTTTTCACCAACTTCATTATTCTACAAGTTACATTCAATTATTTTATAAAACATATATAAATATTTTAAAAGGCATCATTCCTCGGATAGAACCTGGGGGACTCTACGAGTTATATCCTCCATTGTGAGAAATATCCATTTATTCTTCCGTGTTTTATAAACTTATATTATTTAGCCTGATGCTTACACACAAGACAACCTACCCTTTTATTCCATGGTTCTTAAACTCACTGAGAAATATTTGAAAGAATGAGTAATCAAATGTTTGGTTGTTGTTTTTTGAAAACCTTAGTAGATAATATCTACTGGCTCATGCTTATTACATGTTTATTAATACCCTAAAATATTCATGTAGATTACTTAAACATGGCCTTCCCTTTGTGATCATGTTGGATATTCTTCAGCAAGGACTATGTCTCAATGATGACTATCAATTTTTTTCCACACTAAGTACCCAGATGAATATCACTCAGAAATACCATTAATAATGAAGAAATTATGAAGTCAGTTTTCCCAATGTGTCTGGTGCACCGAACCCGATGAAGGAAGAAAGGTTAAAAATACTATAGTCCCCTTTAAATGGAAAAGTTTTATAGCTGCTTGAAAGTCGATAAGTTGATAAATGGGAGATATCACAAGAAGTGGTTCTCTGTGTTATTAAGTTCAATATTAGGGTAGTTGTTTCTAACTTGAGTCACCATGGAGAATAGGCAGAAATATAAATCTAATAAATCTAATAAATAATAATAATAAAAACAAGTGGGGTTCAACTAACATAGAAAGAACAAAAGCACAATTGAGAATGTTCTTTAGCTAAAAAAGAACTAATGCTAGGTACCACTCAATCTTAATTGTGGTCTGTTGGTGGTTAAAAATATAAATGAAATTTTTGGATTAGTGAAGTTACTTAAAAACTATCAAAGGATTATATTATTAAAATGTTTCTAAGCTCACTGATGAGTAATTCTAAAGAAGTAATTCACTGATGAGTAATTCTAAAGAAAGAAATAGAACTGAAAAGTTTTTCAAATAAATTGCACTGATTAAGCTATGAGTGATTTTTCTGATTTTCCAACATAAAGACAATACTTTTATTAAATAATTTTTTTAAAAACAAAATGTGCTGTAATACCGGGTCATGCCTTTTGTTTTAGTAAAGTCAGTAATTCTGATATATACCATTAGTCTATGTTATTCCAATGCAGAAGAATGAGACACTTGTCAATGAAGAGTTGGTGAAGCTTGTTGGCTTCTTAATTTATTAGTGATTAAGATTTGATAAAACTGTTTGTACTAATTTACAAAAACAGGTAGAACAGAGACTGCCCATGTTACTGATATGGAACAGCATTCTTTATATATAATAGTGTATATCAGAGATCCTCAAACCCCAGTCCATGGACTGGCACCAGTCCGCGGCATACCAGCAAACTGGTCTGCACAAACAAGCAAAGCCCATCCATGGTATATGTCATGCCCCCTCCTGTCTGCAGAAAAACATTTCTCTACAGAACCGGTCCCAGAAAGGTTGAGGACCGCTGGAATCCAAGAAATACCACTTAAGCCTATTATTTATCAACTTTAAGAAGAACCATCCATCTCCCTCATAGAAGGACTCTGGGCAGTGTATAATAAAATATTAAAAACATAAAAACAATACATAAAATGCAAAAGAGGCAATGAATGTTTTTTAAAAAATAATAACTAAAAGGTGGGGGCAGGGCTTTCAGGGCACTAATCAGCCCCGTGGTTGTGTGCTCCTTTGCACACCCTGAGCAAGGCCACAGAGCCATGTTTTTAAACATTCATGGAAGGCCAAGAGAGTGAGGTGCCTACCTCACCTCAGGCAGAGAATGTTCCACATTCCAGGAACAACGGCAGAGAAAGTTTTCATTTTGGTCCCTGCTAGTTGGAATTCTTTGGTTGGGAGAGTCTATAACACACCTTCCATTCCTGATGGGTGGGACGGGCTGATATAACAACATGAAGACAGCTCCATAGGTAACATGGCCCTGTGCCACATAGGGCTTTAAAAATCATTGCCAACATCTTGGACAGAGAAGCAAGCTAGTACCCAATGCAACTCATGCAACAGAGATGTTACATGCACTATTCTTTGGGTGCCCCCAGCTGCATTGTATACTGGTAAAATTTTTGGATACTTTTCAAGAGGAGCCCCATGTAGAGCACATTGCAGTAGTCCAAACAGGAGATGACCAGGGCATGAATTACCTGGTAGAGAGCCTCCCTACACAGGAAAGGGTGTAACTGGCACACAATATGAAGTGGAGCAAAGGCCCTTTAGCTAGCTCACAACTTCTACCTATTCTTTGAGCAGTGGCCATGAAATGGACCTCTTACTTTCTATCAACACTAATTGAGACCAACCTCTGAAGGAGGAGGTGAACCAGCACAGAACCATACTTCCCTTAGTTGGCCCAAAAGACTATATTTATTTATTTTATTTATTTATTTTATTTTTATTATTTTTATTTTATGCCTATCTTATAACAGGATAACTGGGTGGTTTACAATATTAAAAGTGTAAAACTATATAAAACCTATACACAATACAAGTAAAATATAAAAATATAAATACTCAATAGTATTAAAAACCACGTGAGAGATGCACCACCTCCATACTGTTCCCACCAGGGAACATCCATGAAATACCAAGGCTGTTCCGGCCCAGTGTCTAGCCCTGAAACTCATTGAAAGGGTCCAGATAATCCAGTTTTTCCAGGAAGTTTGTCCAAGGATACTTGAAAAGCATTATTCAGGGATCCTCACTTGAATTTGTTTAAACTAAAAAAAAGTAAATGATCTTCACAAGCTGCAGATGATTCATTCAACTGTCTTCTCAATATGAAATAGCTTATGTTCCTGATAAGTGGTGATTATAAGCCAAAGTGATCAAATTTATACAGTTAATACTCTGGTTTTCAGCAATTACCCTTTTCAACTTACCCTTTTTTGGGAAAGAAAATAAAATAAAATTGTGACTCAGAATGACATTATGACCCCCTGTCTTCAGGCTGCCTTCTTCGGTCTGGAAAATGACCGAAGTATTTTCAACTTTTAAAAAGAGCCTGTGGAGATCCAGGAAATTATAGGCCTGTGAGTTCAAAAACTACTATTCAGACAAAATTACCAAATATCTGAGACTTGGGCCTTGTTCAAGAATGTACAAGCTAGTCTTAAACTGCTTAGAAGACAATAAAATACATTGGAAGAAGTGGCATGATTCTAATAAAGGAGAATATTTGTAGCTCGGGGTTGAAATGAGGGGTCCTTTGTGCTCTCTGAACTTGCTTGTTGTCTTGTAGGTGTTTCATTACCAAAATTAGGTAATATCATCAGATGACATGATTCTCCTGGATAAAATATCCTCTGCCCCTCAGTTACTTATTCTTGATACCTCAATCACTTGTCTATTTAGAGAAAGCAAGCTAAGTTAATTTAGAGCACAGGTGTCAAACTTGCGGTGTCACGTTGCCATCACGTGACATTTCGTGACATTGTCCCCCTTCACGGAGCATGGGTGGGCATGGCCTGTGCATGATGCATCCGGCCTGCGGGCCACTAGTTTGACTCCCCTGATTTAGAGTGTTGTTTTGCTTTAAATTATTTAGCTAAGCTTTTTGACTTTTCAGAATACAGCACTTATCTGTGTTGTACTCCTCCTCCTTTCTTTTTTCTTCAAATCTGTAAATTTGTAAATTGATACAGATGGAACTTAGACTAGCCAGTCAAAAGTCCCTGATTCTTTTAGGCATGTCCCCCCCCCCCCCAAAAAAAAATTGGAATTCGAATCTTGTTCAAGTGAAAACTGTATGAAAAGTCTCTAAACACATACAGAAGCACCACAGTATATTATGAGCGTCTATTATTCCCTGTGTAAATAAAGGATACTATCAAATGACTTTCTTGACAAGCCAATAAACAAACTATTTTTTTTGAGGGATTTAAAAAAATTATTCTTCAGATAAAGAATAGGCATATTCCATAGTAAAAACAGCAACCATTCACATGTTTATTTACTTATCAAATACAGAGATTGCCCATTCGGTCTCAGAGTGGTTCTTTATTTTTTGTCTTTCTCAAATCAGAAAGGATATTTTTTTCAGGCTTGTGACTAGAATATCTACTCACAATTTTTAGTATTCCATTTTTTTTATGGACAATAATAGTTTCCACACACACACATAAACGGAAGCATTAATTTTACTAACACTTGCACATTTTTAATGATAAATTTTAATGAGGTTATAAAAGGCCATAATCTAATTGTCACTGAATGTCCCACATATGCAATTCATCTTACTCATTTGTATTAATCATTTCCCTTGATCTATAAATACTGGTTTTCAGGTATTCACCTTGCTAAGAAAATCGACAAGCTTGGTATGAGAGCATCTGACACAGCGGAAATCTTCTTTGAAAATGTCAGAATTCCCAGCAAATACCTCATTGGAGAAGAAGGAATGGGGTTTAAATACCAGATGTTGCAGTTCCAAGAAGAACGAATATGGGTAGTAGCCTCATGTAAGTAATAAGCCACACTGTCTAGCTACTAAGATGGGTTTTTCTTACAAAACAACGTGGAAAGTTGATTTTGGCAGTAAAATATAGCAACCCTCTCAATTATGAACATGGTATCCAAATTCTTGTTCAAGACAATATTGTATGCATTTCCATAGCTGCAGATTCCTTCTATATACAAATCTGTGAAAAAGCATTTGTTCCCATTCAGTTTTCCAGAATTTTGGATATTTTTGCCACTAAATGTTACCAAAACTTTATATGGGTCTCTCTGCTGTATAACAGTTCTGATGAAAAACACCAAACATTTATATTTTATAAACCAAGTTGTCTATTTTTATTTGCTTTGGCAAATTGAGCAGCATACAACTTTAATTTTTTTTAAAAAAATCAATTAATACAACTAAAAATAATAATTATAACAGTTGTTTGAATGCTTCATTGAACAATCAGGATTAATTTGGGCCAGCTCTTTCCTATATCCATTTCACTAAGTTTCTCCTTATCACAGTGAACTGGCCCCCCAGAGAACATATGACAACCTCCATAATAAAGTCATTGATGTCTATCAGTCTGGATAATATTACAAGGCCATGTGGAACCTTTGGGGCTCCATTACTCTAAAGTTAGAAAAATAGTCCTGTAGTAGTGAAAGTCTGGAAGCTTCTTGTTTCAGCATTTTAGTCCTGTAGTAGTGAATAGTCCTGTAGTAGTGAAAGTCTAGACAAGCTTCTTGTTTCAGCATTTTAAAAACAGCGAAACCACAAAAATTGACTCTAGCCAGATCAAGAAAGGCCTGATAATGTTATGAGATTCCTGGAAATTTTATCCTGTATTTGGGAATATTCTTGAGAGATAGCCACTGTTTGAAGTTGAAGCACCCAGATGACCTTCCAGAGCCTTTTCAGGTGCTATTATGTCTGATGGAAACCAAAGGCAGCGGTTCTGGCCAGGAGGGCCTTTGCGCAATTGGGGGTTGTGCACCAGTTACATCTTTTCTTAGACCAACAATCCCTACTTACAGTCACTCATGCCCTAGTCACTTGATAGTCTTGACTATTGCAACGCACTTTACATGGGGCTGCCCTTGAAGAGCATCCAGAAACTCCAGTTGGTGCAAAATGCAACAGCCTGCATGGTTTTGTGCAGACTCCGGGGTGCATATGTATCACCTCTCCTGCGGGAGCTGCATTGGCTGCTTATTTGTTTCCGGGTGCAATTCAAGTTGTTGGTTATCACTTTTAAAGCCATTCATGGCTTGGGACCAAGTTATCTGAGGGACCGTCTCTTGCCGGTCGTATCTACCCAACCACCAGAGCAGGGAGGCAGGCAATGCTGCGGATTTTATTTTATTATATTATTTGATTATTTTTATTGCTTTAAATGAGGTTTTATATTCTGTAAGCTGCCTTGAGTCGCCATGGGCGAATAGGCAGCAATATAAATTCAATAAATAAATAAAGAATTCCAGATTGGTTTTAATTAATCAAATAAATTAATTCCAAATCTCATATCAGTCATCAGAGAGGGCGTAAGTTCACAGTTTGGAGATGCTCTTCGGTCTCAGGATATAGGCTACTTGCTATCATACAAAACATGTGACACAATTCTGCAGAATATCAAGCTGTATCTGTTGAAACTGAATCGCAGATGGGTTTTAAACCAAAGCAGTGTTGCCAAATAAACGAACAGATCTGTGAGAGATTGGATGAAGAACTAAATCTGGGTTTAGATACTCAAACTCAATTTCATTGAGGGCCACATCAGGGTTATTTGAACTTGGGGATGGGGTAGGCATGGCCAGCTTGACATCACTCATGTCGGGGGCTTCTGTGGTGGCCCAAGGGCTTTGCCAGCAAGCTCCATTTTCAGCTGCGACAACCTCCTGCCTCCCTCTGCCACTGATGACAGAGCTTGGAGGGGCCAATTGCGGCCTCCCTGAGCTCCATTTTCACTAGCAGAGGATGGCATCACAGCTGAAAATGGAGCTGGGGGGGCTGCACACAGCCCTCGTGAGCTCCATTTTCTCTGGCAGAGGCACCATGGGCCGGTCCTTTGCTGTTTCTAGCATAGCCCCATGGGCCAGATCTAAGCACCCCATGGCCTTTATCTGGGCCTTGAGTTTGACACCTTTCTTCTAGACCTAAAAGCTGAAATATTGTAGCAAGTCTTGATGCAAGCAGTTCAAGTTAGAAAAATGTCAAATTTTACTGAGCAAAGAAAGGAAAGAAACAGGTAAAATTCCTGTATAATTATTAGGAAGCATTACTGAAGTTCAAGATGGTGCAACCACTTATTGAATTTTAAGGAGGTTGATGACCACACACATTGCATATTGTCCATGAAACAAACACAGAATTGCTGTTACTCACTTTGATTCCCTTTAAGTAACAATAATATCCAAGGGAAACTCTTGATCATGTCCTATGGCAAAGATATGCAAAAATTCAGAAAAATCTGGAGGGAGAGAGGGAGGGGAAGGGCGACTTAATCTTCAATGGAAAGGAATTAAGTACATTTACTTTCATCTTTTATTACGTTGCATATTTAGCACTGTCAGCTCTAGAAATCCTGATAAAAAAAACTATCGATTATACTTCTCAAAGGAAAACATTTGGCCAGCCAATACTTCATAATCAAATAGTGCATTTTCGCCTGGCTGAACTAGCTACGGAATTGGAACTCCTTCGTGCATTGCTATATGAGGCAGTAGGTAAGTGCAATAAAAATTTATTTGCAATAATCTACCTATAAGTTACATTATTTTTTTATATACATGGTTAACTTGACAGGAAAGTTTGTACTTTTATTTGAGGTCTCTACTTACGCGGAAATGATGTGACCAAACTTATATCCATGGCCAAGTTAAAGTGTGGTCGCCTATGTCGAGAGATTTCGGATAGTTGTCTCCAGTTCTGGGGAGGAATGGGGTACACTAATGAAGTGCTAGTGAGTAGAATCTACAGGTAAGAAGGATTAACCCTTTCGTCTACCTGGATGTAGTATGTATAAGTTTGTAATGTCACAAGCATTCAAATTATCAATCAGGTATTAACAGTTGATGCATTGTAATTGAAGTATGGTACTGGATACATGTCGTTAATGTTAAATTTTTAGAAAATATACATTTTATAATCCAGGAAACTTCATGAGTACTATGTATCCTATGGGATAATTACAGTACAGGTTTCTTCTAAAATTCCCCAAGCCTCATGTTTCAGCTCAAATGCACTCAAATCCACCCCACCCCCACCCCCAAAAAACCCTTACAAATTCACAGGGAGAACAGCTGAAGAAGTGATAGTAAACTTTTATTTCCATCATTGACCAACAACATTTATATTCAATGTAAAATTAAACCATCCTGTTATGCCAATAGCCGAACTTAAGTACAATAAGAAAGGTAAGTTGGAAATCCAGCCTTTTTGAAAACAGGAACTATTTCAAACAATGAACATATTTTCAATAAATGTATGTTTGTAATATACATATATATGCATGCATGTGCATACATTCACACACACACACACACACACACACCTAGAATACTGCATCCAGTTTTGGTCAGCACAGCAGAAAAAGATATTGATACTCTAGAAATGATCAGAGAAGAGCAACAAAGTGATAAGGGGTCGGGAGGCTAAATTATACAATGAAATGTTGAGAGAACTAGGTATGCCGAGGTGGAAAACCATTGAAGAGAGATCCAACCTAGAACTAAGGAGAGAACAGTGAGAACAATTAATAAGTGGAACGTCTTACCTCTGAAAGTTGTGGTTGCTCCATCACTAGAGATTTTCAAGAAGAGACTGGACAGCCATTTGTCCAGAATGGTATAGGGTCTCTTTTTGACCAGGAGGTTGGACTAGATGGTGTCCAAGATTCCTTATGTAGAATATAGAATAACAATCCTGTTATTCTATGTTCTATAAATATGAGATCTGAAATTCTTGCATAGCCCTATTTTATTCTGCATGATCACATTGAAAGCACCTTTTTTCAGAATGTAACATTTTATTCACTGATTAAAAAATACTCTAATCTATAATTCTACAGGGAGTCCTTGGTTAATGACCACTCACTCAGCATCTTTTCAAAATTGCAGTTCACTGAACAATTGGTACAGGTAGCACTCGACTTAACAACAGTTTGTTTAACAACCGTTTGAAGTTACAATGGCACTGAAATGACCATTTTTTCTCACTTTATGACCATTGCAGCATCCCCATGAGCACGTATTTACACTTGGATGCTTGACACGTGGTTCATACCTATGACAGTTGCAATGTCCCGGGATCATGTGATCCCCTTTTGTGACCTTCTGACATCAAAGTCAATAGAAAAACCAAATCCACTTAACACCAGGTTACATGTTACTAATGTAACAACTGCAATGATTCACTTAACATACAGGATAAGAAAAGTTGTAAAATAGAGCAAAACTCACTTAACAAATTTCTCATAATTTGGGCTCAATTATGGTCATAGGGCTACCTGTACTTATGGACAATCCTTAGCATTTTAACTGTTGCAGCATCCCGCAATCATGCGACCCAAGAGATCACAAATAGTGATCATGCGATGTCCTCACTTAATGACCCTCAATGATTTGCTTAACAATGGCAACTAGGACTGCCAGTAAGCAGTGTGACCACTAAGCAGTGTGACCACATCATTCTTTACATTTCTGGTGCTTAATTATGGTAATTCCAGTCCCAATTGCTTGTAAACTAAGGACTACACATACTTGCAAATGGAGAGCATTCATTTCTAATTCAAAGAGGCATGCCAAAATGGAATTGAAGTAACTCCCCTCTCCCCCCACAAGGAATTAGCAAGCTTTTCTGAGATAGAGGACTGACTGGGATTCTGGAAAAATTTTATGGAATGCATTTTGTCTCATAAACACACAGAGAAAATGTGCATCACAACAATTCTGTGGAAGCCCTAACCTTAACTCCCACCACAATCAAAGTCACAGGGATTAATGCAGAAGATTAAACCCTACTGTGATTCAAGATCATGGTCTCCATTTTCTGAAGAGCAGCACTAGAGTAGGAATCTTGTTTTCCAACTGATGGCTATTCAGCTTGACAACATAGAAATGTTGACAAGATTTCCCTAGTAGGCTTTGGGTGTTATATATGCAGCCATACTTAGTTATACTTGCCAAGGATCCTTAGATTGATGACTCAAACTAAAATGTTGTACTAACAAATCTAATACATCTTAAGTGATGATGATGATTAGTATATTAAAGTAATTCACAATTCACGTTGACTTAGTTAAACAAGTACATTAAACAATATCAAGTTTAATATTAATTGTATTAAGTGAAAGGCGAAGCAGAACAAATTTCATTTTATTGATACTTTTGTTTGCCTTTTCTGTCATGGCAGAGATTTAAGATTGGTATCAATAGGAGGAGGTGCTGATGAAATCATGCTGTACATTATATGCAAATACATGGGTATCTTGCCCCAAACGTAAGTTTTGTGACTAACCATAGATTTTTTGCTACTGTTTTAATAATCTGTATTAGAGCTTTTTTTTTAAAATGTAGGTGGAATAAATATATCCAAAGGAATGACCAAATTTCTAATTTTCATAGTGATTTTTTTTGCATGTAAATTAAAATGTGCAAATTTGTCTGATGTTTTCCAAGAACCACTGATAACATAGTATTTGAATATGAAGCAAAAAAAAAAGTGATTCTGATCTGATGTGGTTATACTCACACCATCTTTCTCTGGCACTTGAAAGAAGCTGTATTTTTTTTTCCTGATCACATGCATAGTGAGAACACATAGGCCAGAACTGAATCCACTTTTCTGCTTTGAATGGGTGAATGCCTGCACGTTCATACCTAGAGCATTTTGGGGGTGTTTCTTTTAATTACTAAAAAATGAATCCATCCATCGTTTGCTTCTGAACGATGTAAGGTAGTGATGTAATGTAAAAAAAATGTAATGATAGGACTAACTTAGAATTCTTATCTCACCTATTTTATAATCAACATCTTCAAATATTAACCAGAACTGTCATACCTACCAGTTTATATTATTATTCCATGCATCTCATAGTTATTAATATATGCATTAATATTGCATATAATAATGTATACCATATAATTATGTTAATCTAAATTATTTAAATGCATTGTTTGTTCAACTCTGTTGGTAACAATTGAATAATATATAGCATGCATTCTATATGTATGTATAATACACAATGTTTTAAAGCCACCATTACCTTTTCAAAAGATGTGGAAAAATCTACCTGTAGTTGACTAGTTTAATTGAATATTGTGCCTGAAAAAGAGTAGGTGCAAACTAAATGCAGGGAGATTAAAGATGGCAAGAAAGAAATATTTTTTTCACGCCATACGCAGCTAATTTGGGGAATTCACTGCCAGCATGGTGATAACAGCAAGCAATATCGATAGCTTTCAAAGAGAACTGAATGGGTTCATTCAGAATCAAGCTATCAATGATTGCTAACACTGAAGGTTTTTACTACCCCTTGGGTCATTGGCTGTATACTCAAGTAATTCTGAAAGGGAACCATTTTCCTCCAGCTGAATTTTATGAGATTAGCAAATTCAGATATAATATCAGTATGGTATCAGTAAACAGTAGCCTTGTAGTTAGATATGGAAAAGCTATTTTAAATTGAAGCGTTAATCTGTATTCTCTTCTTTTACAGGAAAAAGAATGAGCCCTAGGATTTTCAGAACTCTATAACACAATTATGATGAAAATTATCTTAACCTCAGTCAGCCTAATCGTATTCTTCAAATGGTTTAAAGCAGGGATGTTAAACATAGTTTTCACCGGCAGAGGGTTGCAGGAGGCCGTCACAGTAAAAAATGGACCAGTGGGGGATGCACCCCTCCTGAACTCTGTTTTCGCTTGCAGAGTGCCACCAAAACAAACTACTAGCAAAAGTCGCATTTGATCACAACGCATTGAGAAATGTTTCCCCTTTTGCATTTGAGCATCCAAGAAGGGACAGAAAAGGAGAAAGGTAAAGAGGAAAGACAAAGAAAAGGAAGAAAAGATGGGAAGAGAACAAGGAAAGAAAAATAAGGAAAGAGGGGAAGAAAGAAAAAAGGAGAATGAAGAGGGAGGGAAAAAGAAAGGAAGGAAATAAGTTTTGTCTAAACTGTGTAAGGTAAAATAATGAGGGAGGGAGGGTCTGAGGGACATCCTGCCTTAGCACTTAGCCACCAGCAGCCCTGTTGCTCTTTTGCTGTCCCTTGTCTCCCCCTGACCTCTCCTGGTTGTCTCCTATCCTATCACTGAGGATGCTTTGGTTACAACGCCAAGTCTTTTTGCATGGAGAGGGAGTTGGGCCTTCCTTTGACCCACACATTTTGCCCTCCTGTATACATCATGAGAAAACTGGCCAAAGAGAGCAAGAACAGCAGCAGCAGCCTTGAGGAGGTAAGTGCAGCCAGGTACCCCCTGGGGGAAGCAGGGCTGGGCATGGCTGGGTTGTGAGGTCCCAGTGCCCTGGGAGCTCAAGTGCTGGGCTGGGTGATTACCCTCTGCTGCCTAGGGCTCTGGACAGCCTGAGCCACCATCCAGGGGTCCTCCTCATGGCCAGAGAGGGACAGTGAGGCACCTCTGAAGGACAAGGGTCTGGCCCCCTCCTTGGTCTTGCCTTCCTCTGCCGGATACAATGGATCCCCCCAGCCCACCACAGTTGCTTCCAACATTAGTGATGAGCTGGTCATGCCCCTGGCCACACCCCCTCTTCCCAAACACAACCCTTATGAGGCCTCAATGAAAGCAAGTTTGTCACCCCTGGTTTAAAGTTTTAATGTTAACAATTTTAATTTTTAATTTTTCTTTTTATTATAGTAAGTTGCCTAAAGTAACCCCCAGCAAGATAAGCAGCAAATAAATTTAATAAAAAATAATACTGAGAGGAAATGTGATGATATTGGAAAAAGGACGTTCTTCTTGTACTTCTCTATATTATACGATAAATATGTATATATATATAAGCCATACTGTTAATAAAATCAAAGATATTCCTTAGTATTTTGATTATATAATAAAATAGGATATAATTTTTATAATCAAAGCATTTATATATGATTAGAATAAACTATAATTATGAATTGTTCTATTATATTTAAAAAATCATTTCAACTGAACAATTTGCCAATATAAAATACATATACATGAAACATGATATCCTTGCTCATATAAGTGTGACACTATATTTTGCAATTGGAAAATGGATGGAAAATATCACAGCTGTTGAAATGACAAATTGTGTTGGTGAGTAGAATCCTCCCTTTAACACAGGGCTGCCAAACCCGTGGCATGCCGACCGGATATGTTATGCACTGGCCACATCCCCGCCCGGTTTAGCGAAGGGGGGAAAAGTCCTGATACGTCACATGACACCACTGTGATGACACAAGTTTGACATCCCTGCTTTAATGCTTTTTAATGGGAACCTAGCTACATAGTGACTGGATTTGCATTATCAAACTTCTCAACATAAATGCTGAAGATTCCTAGTGGAGATTTAGACTTTAACTTAGTAAAAATTATTTACCAATCTTCTCAAAAAACTTTCTATATGCAAAAGAAGCTTAATTTAACATGCAAGGTCATTTTGTTAATATGTCTTTGTAGGTCTATTAATTCTAGCAAGTTAATATGTTGAACACCATGGGAAAAAATCCACTATTATGTCTTCCAGTTCAAAATCTCAACCTCTATGAACCTAGCAAAAATAGTATATTAATATTGAGAATTAAATAAAGATTGCTCCCAAATCAGATTTGACTACTGGCATGTCACCTATAAATCTACTGACTTTTCTTGGAAACGTTTCAGAAGTGGTTTTCCGGGGCCATCTTCCTAGGGCTGAAAGTTAGTGACTGGCTTAAAATCAACCAGCTGGCTACCATGTGTAAAGCAGACCTAAAATTCAGGTTTCCCCACTATTCCAACATCTTAACTACTGAATTTTAAAAGCTGTGGCAATGTAGTGGTTAAAGTGCCCAAGCCAAGAATTCAGTCCTGTCCAGCTCAAGATTGACTCAGCCTTTCATCCTTTCAAGGTTGGTAAAATAAGGACTCAGATTGGGGGTGAGGGGTGGGCAAGATGCTGATATTTGTAAACCTCTCAGAGTACTGTAAAACACAATGGAACGATGTATAAGTCTTAAGTACTGTTGCTATTGCTGCTGAATTACAAGCTAAAAAATTAATTGAAACCCCTGCTGTGAAGAAATCTTCATATGAAATAGGTATTCTTTATACTTTATAGAAATGGCTTGTTCATATTAGGAAAAAATAAAGTTGTGATTTGATGTTAATGCCTTATTTTACTGCAACAGAGACAGTCTTAAGTCAGTTTCTTTTTCTTTTTTTCTCACCCTTCCTCACTCTTCCCCTTCTTCCTCCCCACTGTTTTCCCATTTACTTTTGTATCTTTATTTTATTTTATAACAATAGAATGTTAAACCGAAAAAAAGAGATAGGTATTCCTTATAGATACAGTACACTTTTTTTTCAAAGAATAAATAATGAGGCTCTATTCTCCACCAAAATTTATCTCTCTTCCAGGAAGTTTATAAATGTCACCTATATTTTAAATGTCACATACTCTGCTACCAAATTAAACAGTGATATTGCTACTAGGAATATACCAATTTCTAATAAAACAGGCCATTTAGTTAATGGGGATTTAATATTTGTGGATCCCTTTCATCTTTTAATTAAAGGGAACTCTAACTCATACATTCTTTATTTTAAAAAAACTGTTTCACTATTACATTAGTAATTCACTATTACATTAGTAATTCATTTCATCTATTACATTAGATGAAACTTCAGACATTATAACAGCAAGTTGTGCTACTGCTTTGCCTACCTAGAATATTGTAAACTGCCTACAGTAAGATAGTGTAGTAAAATTAAAACTGACAATTCCGGTCTATTAACCCTAAACATAGTAGTAATGCAATCCCAGCACAGACATGTGAGTAAAGAATCATGTCTTTTCTTTTCCCTCACACAATAACTGTATCTCAAAACTATTATATAGTTTAAAGTAAATAGTTAACTCAAGCCAAATTCAGAACTTGGTTAAATACTTTACTAAAACAATAGCCCTTCAATTAACTTAGCATTGAAAAGAAGTGTTTTGGCTTTTTAAAATATTCGATACAAAATTACCAATATTATTTTTATTACTAGGAAAAAAAGCAACTGTTGTTATATAGTGTAATTTCTAAATAGGAAAATGCCTGTTTCAATAATGGAACTACTTAGTAAACTTTTGTTTTGTTTACAAAGAGTTCACTTTTGAACAAAATTCAGTTCAGGAAAGTCTACAAAATAAGGTTTTTTTTGTTTTTGTTTTAAAGTGACACTGCTTCTGGCTTGATAAGCATTTAAGAATTACAGAAGAGATTCAATGCATTTAATCCTAAATCCAGTTACAAAAATTATCAATTTTCTCAAAAAAAAGCTTTCAAGATGGTGTGAATAATCTCATAATAGAGATCTGCATCACCTCAATTTAATAATCCAATAAATCACAAAAAAGACAAACAATGAGAACAACATCATGTAGCATAACAGTTTTGTCTGGCTTCCTCTGGAGAGGATTTTCAGTCTGCCCATTGTTGCACCAAGGAATCCACTTGTTGAATCAAAATCATTGTCCTGTTGTTAAAAACATGCAGAATTATTTTACTGTTTGAATATTACCTATTAATTTTTAATTCATAAAGACAGAACTTATAGTTGTATTTTCTCTGCTTATGGATCAGCAAAGCATATACAGTGGTTTTTCAACATTGAGAGCCTCGGTGGCACAGTGGTTAGAATGCAGTACTGCAGGCTAAATTCACTGTTCACTCCAGCAGTTCGATCCTGACCAGCTAAAGATTGGCTAAAGACTCAGCCTTTCATTCTTCAGGGGTTGGTAAAATGAAGCCCCAGATTGTTGGGGTCAATATGCTGACTCTGTAAACCGCTCAGAGGGCTGTAAAGCACTATAAAGCGGTATCTAAGTCTAAGTACTATTGCTATTAGCAACTTTTAAGATGGAAAGACTTCCAACTCTCTGAATTGACTTCAAGCCCCAGCTTCCCATGTATTAGAATATTTTTCCTCAACTTGGGCTCCCATCAGATGTATAGACTTCCAACTCTCAGAATTACCGAATCATCTTGGATTTTGCTGAAGAGCATCTGTTCATGTATCCAAGCAGTATGGGTAGTCCTTGAGTTACAACCATTCATTTAGTGACCGTTTGAAGTTACAATGGCATTGAAAAAAGTGACATGACTTTTTTCACACTTAAAACCATTGTAGCATCCCCATTGTCACATGATCAAAATTTGGGCACCTGACAACTGGCATGTATTTATGACAGTTGCACTGTCCCAGGCTCATCAAAATAGCATCATTTCCCAGCTGGCGTCCGCCAAGCAAAATTAATGAGGGAAGTATGATTCACTGAACAACAACAGTGGTCTGCTTAATTGTGGTAAAAGAAAACATAAAATGGAACATACTCACTTAACTGTCTTGCTTAGCAATGAAAATTTTGGGCTCTGTTATGGTCATAAGGGGGGGACTATCTATACTCCATTTGTAGAAAGCTACGTCAGAGTTATAACCAGAATACTGAGTTCAAATTATCACTTGGCCATAATCCTCAACTGAATTTATTTAGGCCTCTTAGTGATTTTTGGGTATAATGTTTATTAAATTGTGAAAATACTGCTTGAACCTTAAGAGAAAATAAGTTAAATAATTCCTTTGCTTCGTTTTAAAATACTAAATTTAAACAGTTGCACTCTTTAGAGAGTGCAAAATGTTAAAGAAACGTAATTATTTTCATTGTGTGGAAATTATTGTACTTCAGTGTCTAGTTTCTCTTCCCCAAAAAGGTGACAATGGATATCTTTGCCTTTTGAGAAAATGTATCATGCATCTAACCTCATTTATTTTAATATCCTATACAAAATTTGAGGTTTTTTTGGGGGAAAGGATTTTTTCTGCAATTATTCTATAGAAATTTTTTTCTGTAGAAAAATACAAAATTTTGTAACATTTTTTATATTTATTATTTGATTTCTATAGTCGCCCATCTCTGCGATTTGGAACAAAAACGTTTTAAAATGTGACACTTTTGATGTTATGTATAGGGCTAAAAAAAATCCAAACTTGTATATAAAATAAACCTACTGAAATAACAAACCTAAATATCATTACAGTTAGTCCTTGAATTAACCACAATTGAGTTCAAAATGTCTGTTGTTTAGTGATACATTTGTTAAGTGAGTTTTGCCCATTTTATGACCTTTCTTGCCATAGTTGTTAAGTGAATCACTGCAGTTGATAAGTTAGTAACCTGGTTGTTAAGTGAATCCAGCTTTCCCATTAACTTTGCTTGTCAAAAGGTTACATGATCTTGGGACACAGCAACGGTCATAAGCATGAACAAGTTGCCAAGCATCTGGATTTTGATCACATGGACATGGGGAGTTTGCAAAGTTGTAACTTTGGAAAATGGTCATAAATCCTATTTTTCAGTGCTGTTGTAACTTTGAACAGTCATTAAATGAATTGTTGTAAGTTGAGGACTATCTGTGTTCACTTATTTTATTGAATTTAGTGGTGTAATCTAAGCATGATCAAAGGGATTAGTATGTTAGAATTTACTTGAGTGATTTTAAAACTAAACTGATACATCTAAAATAAACTGCTTAAGTAAATACATACCATTTCAGTTAATAATGTATTATGTTGTTTAACTTCTGTTCCAATTTCAATGGAAAGCTATGAGAAAAAATACATACGTGGTATATTACAATGCATAATAGTAAATAGTGAGATAACAGCTTCTTTAAGGTATTTTCCAGATGATCCTATAAGATCCCAGGTAGAAAATAGCATTGAGTAAGATAGCCTTATTTTTTTCATTTTCAAATATGAAATCTCTCCCTTCTTCTGTTAATTCTTTTTCTTATGCAGCAGGGGGAAAAAACATGGTATTGCTACAGTTTGCTCTGCTATCCAAAGCCTTTAACTAAAAACATGTTGTATACCTTTAAATCTGTTTTAATTCATTTCTTTTCTGCTTATAACATGCTTACATAATTTATTTTTTTTCAGCTTTTTATGTTTCAGTATTTTATATGCTACACTTCAGATCACTCATGTTGAGCAAAAAACACATGGTAGATGAAATTACATAACATGATTAATAGGATACTAGCTAGTTTGGGTAGTAATTACTATACATCTCATTTATTTCCTATAGATCAAGTGAGTCACAGGGCTACTTAAGAATTGCTGCTCCAGAAAAGAATAGAATAGAATAGAATAGAATAGAATAGAATAGAATGAGTTGGGCTCATGTAGTTTAAATGAGCCACACACTACTTATAAGATATTATAACCAACTGTGTCATTTCATGCTTTACAAATAAAGAAGTCCTCCAGGGCTACCATTGTTTCCTGATCTTTTCCAGTTGTGCATCTTCCATCTTATGACAATCTGCATTGTCCCCCCCCCCCCCCCCAAAAAAAAAAACACCCCACAATCTTTCTGAGTTTGATCAGTAATGAAGTCATCAGATCATTCATAGGAAATGAACTGGCAGGACTCATCTGAAAACGATGTCAGAGTGAAGTTAGACAGCTGACACAAAAAAATCATGTAATTTGGCTGCTGTTTAAAAAATACAAAATTATAAAAATAATACTTGGAATTATTAGGAAGGAATTATAAAATATCCAGTTGTTAATTGTTATACTTCATCAGTAAGCAAGACATCACATGATGCAACAGATGTTTGATAGCTTTTCCCATGGTTGTTAAGTGAATCATCATAGTTACTGAAACATGTGACTAGGACAACTCTTACTTATTTTTAAAGGCTTTTTTTAAAGGCTTTCTCTAGATAAATAAGAGTGTCTTCTAATTTTTGGGCTTTGTTTTGTCCCCAAGAGAATGTATTTCAAAACTCTCTTGTTATGTCACAAATGAATGCAATCATAAACCGTGGAATAAAGCCAGAATCAATAAAAATACAGATAGGTGGAGTCTTCGGTGCTTTTCATCTTGGTTGTTTGCTTTGAAGCATTTCATTACCCATTAAATAACATCACCAGTGCTAATAGGATTTGCTCCCTGCTTATATTCAGTAGCTTGATTTGCCAAAATTGGTGGGGTGGATTTTTCTTCTTGATATAGTTCCTTGATTAAGGCATTATTTTCTGCTTGTTTTCCAGTGTTAATCCTGGATTATCTGGAGGTTGACTGCTGGAGAGGATTCATTCTGATCTTGTTTCCTTCTTAGCTTTTTTATTGCCTCTTTTGAATCGTGTTTGTCTATACATTGTGAGATTAAGTTTTCATTATGTCTTCTGAGAGCTGGTTGGTGTTCAGGGATGCGATATGCTGGTCTTTAGCCTGTCTGTCTTACCTGCTGACAGGCAGGAGACTAGTAGAGGACATCCATAACAGGCAGGAAATTTTGTATATAACCAGGGAGTAAACCCCACAGTCACACTCATTTATCATAAACATATTGATACATTATCTAATTAGGTAATGTCTGCAAATAAACAACCAAGGTCAGTAAGCACCAAGGACCCACATTTCAAAGATAGCTTTAGATATTTTCTTCCATTGGAAAAATATAATCAGGATAGTCAGTTTCCAAAACCTCCCTAGCAATCAGCTCAGACATCTGGAAAAAGAAATACGATGATAATGATTTTATTCTTATTCCTGCTTAAAATATCTATCTTGTCCCTTTAAATCAAACTGATGCTAAAATGTCTTGATATGCCTTCCTTACAAGGTGTACAAGTCAAGTTGGAGTCAACATGTTTCTTTTTAAAGCAAACCTGATCTTTTTTTGCCACATTGAGGTCTAAACCATAAAGACATAGCAAATGAATTGGCAAATGAGGATATGCCAACTTTACTTATAGGGACCAGACTAGACAACTGGGCTGGTTTAGTTCGATTTTCAGTTATAATTATTTATTTAACAGAATAATTTAACTTTGTCTTATAAATAGACCGACTTACTAATATTTGCTATCATTCCCTTAGGAACACAATTCTTAGTCACACTGCTAAAAAAACAAAATCATCTGCCTGTTCCAGCTTGTAACTAATATGTTGATTAGCCAAAAAGGGCAGCTGAAACTCAAATCCAAGTATAGGTAGAATCTATTCTATGAACAAATGTACCATGTTTTCTGATGGGCAACATTGTGCCTCAATTCAATTAAACTGTTGCTATACACTGATAATCCAACCATTATGTACTCAAATCAGTTAAGATGCTGATAGTAAAATGACATGCTTACAGATTTTATGGCAGTGACTTTTGAACGCAAACTTTCTGTTAACTTCTCATTTTCTTCCTCATATACACTATAGCCGCTATTGGTATAACCATAGTTGCTGCCAGCAGCTCCTTCACCTGAAAAAAAAAATCAAATTAAAGCATCAGAAATTCAGATGGGAAAATATACATTGCTCAAAAAAATAAAGGGAACACAAAAATAAGACATCCTAGGTCTGAATGAATGAAATATTCTTATTAAATACTTTGTTCATTACATAGTTAAGTGTGCTGACAACAAAATCACACAAAAATTATCAATGGAAATCAAATTGAGCAACCCATGGAGGTCTGGATTTGGAGTTACACTCAAAATTAAAGTGGAAAAAAACACTACAGGCTGATCCAACTTTGATGTAATGTCCTTAAAACAAGTCAAAATGAGGCTCAGTAGTGTGTGTGGCCTCCACGTGCCTGTATGACCTCCCTACAATGCCTGGGCATGCTCCTGATGAGGTGGCGGATGGTCTCCTGAGGGATCTCCTCCCACACTTGGACTAAAGCATCCCCCAACTCCTGGACAGTCTGTGGTGCAACGTGGTGTTGGTAGATGGAGCGAGACATGATGTCCCAGATGTGCTCAATTGGATTCAGGTCTGGGGAACGGGCGGGCCAGTCCATAGCATCAATGCCTTCGTCTTGCAGGAACTGCTGACACACTCCAGCCACATGAGGTCTAGCATTGTCTTGCATTAGGAGGAACCCAGGGCCAACTGCACCAGCATATGGTCTCACAAGGGGTCTGAGGATCTAATCTTGGTACCTAATGGCAGTCAGGCTACCTCTGGTGAGCACATGGAGGGCTGTATGGCCCCCAAAAGAAATGTGACCCCACACCATTACTGACCCACTGCCAAACCAGTCATGCTGGAGGATGTTGCAGGCAGCAGAACGCTCTCCACGGCATCTCCAGACCCTGTCACGTCTGTCCCATGTGCTCACTGTGAACCTGCTTTCATTTGTGAAGAGCACAGGGTGCCAGTGGTGAATTTGCCAATCTTGGGGTTCTCTGGCAAATGCCAAATGTCCTGCACGGTGTTGGGCTGTAAGCACAACCCCCACCTGTGGACGTCGGGGCCTTATACCACCCTCATGGAGTCCGTTTCTGATCGTTTGAGCAGCCACATGCACATTTGTGGCCTGCTGGAGGTCATTTTGCAGGGCTCTGGCAGTGCTCCTGTCCCTCCTTGCACAAAGGCGGAGGTAGCGGTCCTGATGCTGGGTTGTTGCCCTCCTACATTCTCCTCCACATCTCCTGATGTACTGGCCTGTCTCCTGGTAGTGCCTCCATGCTCTGGACACTACACTGACAGACACAGCAAGCCTTCTTGCCACAGCTCACATTGATGTGCCATCCTAGATGAGCTGCACTACCTGAGCCACTTGTGTGGGTTGTAGACTCCGTCTCATGCTACCACTAGAGTGAAAGCACCGGGCTTCCAGTTTTGCAAGGCTCGGTGGCGGCAGGAATTTGCGATCCTCCGCGATTCCTGCTGCGCTCGCTGCCGAGGTTCCTCCGATCCAGATGGGCTGCGCTATAGAGGCAGCTGAAGAGAGAGGGGATCCAGATTTGGGTTTGGGGGTATCGCAAACCCCCTCCTCAGCCGGCAAAACCCCTTTTTCCCAAGGCGGTGGAGCGGCGGTCAGCAATGGCAAAAGGTATTACGACTTCTAGAAGATTACTTTGGAACTGTGTATTTGAATTCTACCCTAGGAAGAGAAAATATAGAAAGAAGAAAGTGCTAAATGAAACTGTTTGCTTTGATTTGGTTTGCTTTGTGACTTTGGGATCTTTGTGAACTATTTCTTGAAAGATTAAAGATATTTGGGTTGTTTCAAAAAAGGGGAAAATGGCATTATCTTTTGAAGAATTACAAATGGAATTTCAAAAATTGAAAGAAGAGGAACAGGAAGGCATGGGCTCTTCTGGATCTATTTTCCACTTTTTAGAAATGGGGATTTCTACCTATCAAGAAATACAACAGCGACAGGAAGGCTGGGATCAAGAAGAAGAAGCCATCTTTAATGGAAAATACTCTTAGTGGAGGAAGAAAAGCGTAAGGGGGGTAAAAAAATGGTGAATTCAGGACTTAAAAAAGCAACCAAGAAAAAGAAAAATAAGATGAAAAATCGATATGTCAGAAAGCAACAGAAAAGAGAAATACAACAGAGAGGGAAGATAAAGAGAGTGAAACTTGAGAGATGGGGGGGTCAAAAAGCTATAATTGACAAGAAAGGAAGGGAAAAAGGAAAGAAGTCATAAAAGCTTTAAACAAGATGTTAAAAAACAGTTTTTTTTCAGAGATAAGGGGTAAGATATAATTTTATAAAAATGATTCTGCAAAAGTACATAAGATTGTATGGTAGATATTAGTATTTGAAATTGAATTAGAAAATTTAAATATTACATGAATTAATAATGCATTAAAGGGAAGCTATGAAAATGTTTAAGATTTGATAATAGAGTTTAATTTACTATGAAATATTGCTCTTATTATATTATAAACTCAATATTCCTTTTTTCTTGGTTTTACTATTACTTATTAAATTTAATATTATTGGCTTGTTTTATTATTTTGAAATGTAGTACTTAGAACGTACGAAGCAGAATCAGTATGGAAAGTGTATTATTTTAACTGTAAAATTTAGGGGAAAGAAGTTATTACAGGAGAAATATTGTATTAGAAAGAAAGGAAAAATAGATGATTGAAAGAGAACGGACAAAAGATGCAAGTATAATTATTTAAATTGAGATGAAATAAATAAAATAGAATTAAAAGAATGAATAGGAGAGAGAAAATATATAGAAAATATAGAATGTTAAATAAGATATGAAATAGTATATTATGTGAGCACGAATTTGATTTATGTCTGTACAAAAAGATCTAACCCGGGGTAAGTCGCTTTCCAAAAAGAAGTTTTATGTATTTATGTTTTGTGTAATGTTTGTTTATGTTTGAAAGGATGTTGGAAGAGAATTAATGAAACTATATATAATGAATATATATAATTTAAGGCAAAGAAATACAATTAAACAGAAGGAAAGGGAGCAGTAAAGAGAAGCTGGGAAAGGATATGAAGTTGAACAGATAAGATAAATATATATATTAAATTGTGTTTGTATAGAAATGTAATAATTTGGAATTATCTTGTTTTTAAATAAGATATTCTATGTGTTTTTTAGAAAAAGATATTTTATGTTACTACATCCTATGTTTTGTTTGCTTGTGTATGTTTTTTAAAAAAATTAATAAAATTTGTTCAAAAAAAAAAAAAAGTGACCAAACCATCAGCCAGAAAGTACAGGAACTGAGAAATGGTCTGTTGTCACTACCTGCAGAACCACTCCTTTATTGGGGATGTCTTGCTAACTGCCTATGCTTTCTACCTGTTGCCTATTCCATTTGCACAACAGCATGTGAAATTGATTGTCAATCAGTGTTGCTACCTAAGTGGACAGTTTGATTTCACAGAAGTGTGATTGACTTGGAGTTACATTGTGTTTTTTAAGCGTTCCCTTTATTTTTTTGAGCAGTATAGTTTCTGGAGGGAAAGAACAGTTTAGTTTTTTTAAATCATCACCTGTTTTAAAAGAACAGGCAAGCAATGTCATCATACAACAGGAACAACCTAAACCTTTCATAATCTAAAAATGAACAGGGTCAAAGTAATGAATAAGGAAAGAAGGAATATATACAAAGGTGATTAATTCATGTTACACTCAGGGCCTTTCAGTCTATAATCCAATCCAATGGGTTGCAAAGAGAATTCAGGATCCAAATCCATCATCTTAAAAAAAATCCTGAACTGGATAGTCCAATGTTTTTTTATACTGTTAACATTTTTCTAAAGAAAATACATTAAGATGCATCTTTTTTCCCCTTCTTTGATTTTCTTAGTGGGGTGTACATATCTGGATCATCAATTAAATGGGATCTGTCTTTTCTTTCTCCTTGCACTTCATGCCAACACAAAATCAAAGACATCATCTTCCTCAACTGTTAAGTTCTACTCTTTAAAACTGGTCTTAGAAATTGTCCCTTGCCCTTTTAGTAAGAATAGGCTGTGTTAGTCTTCAAGACTAGCAATTAAAAACCTTCATAATTGGGTAATTTTGCTCGAGTGGTATCTTAACTGTTTGATAAAATTTTGCAAGGGAGAGCTCCTTTCAGACTCCTATTTAGCATCAGGGACCATTTCTCTGTGCCAATATCACTTTTGGAACATCCTGAGATTAGGTTAGAATGCAATGATAATATTTTGTATCACTTTACTTCACAATTGGGGCTAAGATTCCAGTCCCAATTGTGATCACAATCCAAGCACTATCTGTATTATTTTTATAAATAACTGAAGGCATCAAATTATCTTCCTCCTGCTATATTTCCCATAACAACCCAGAGAAGTGGCTAAGGAAGTGTGACTGGCACAAAGTCAAACAACTATCTTTCATGTCTAAAGTGGGACCAAAATTCATGGTCTCCTGGTTTCTAGATGTAGTCTCCTTAACCATAAGATTAAACTGGCTCTCTGCCTCTTTGCAATTTTTACAAAGAAAAATTCAAGAATAAAACCAAGAAAATAATTAAATTTAAATGAATTGAAATGTAAATCTAAAGGTTATACAATTACTGCAGGCTAACATCCATTCTTCAGGTACTTAGGAAGAACCATTAAGAGACAGCTTTTGGAAAAGGCTTGTTGAAATAATTGAATGTCTCTTCTAACAAGTTAACATTATAGGGACTTTTAGATTGTCCTTTAATGTGTGTTGATGACGTAATATTATATTGTACTGTTTACATCTTTTTATTGTAAATTGGGAATGTAAGTTGTTTAAAGTCAGAAGCCAAACAAAACACTGTTAGAATATGCAATTGCTAAATAAGTTTTTGATTTTATGATGCACGTTTAATAAAACATTAATTTAAAATCTAGTATTAAAAGCACTTTTGGAAGTGCTTTTTTAAAACTATTGATAGTAAAGTAAGCATGTTCTTAGAAGAGAGCTATGGGCTAAAACAATATAAAATTATATTCTAAAAAACTGGAACTTGTCAATTTATGAAGAAATTTCC